TCAATATTATTTTCAACTGTAGTCACAAAATCAATATAATTCTACATCAGCTAAAGAGCATGCAGGCGAGTATGCAATAATCAATTAATAATTAACTATACTTTATGTAATGGCTTTGGCTTCTACTAATACAATTTCTCTAGCATGTCAACATAATTGTTTAATTTCTGTTTTAAATTGTAAGCGAAAAACAGAAACATTGAAGGATGTATTTTCACCAATTTACTATTGAAACTTATTATTTAAACAAAAATTGAGGAATCTAAAGGAAAAACTAAATTTCTAGTAAATTAAAAAAAAAAAACGTGATAAAGATGAGCCAAGCCAATTTTTTTAAAAGGATTTCAATTATAAGCTCAAGCAATTCATCATAGATAACTTTTTTTTTACATTTCATAAATTAAGATTACATAAAATGTAACATTTATTGTATATTATTTGTTTTATAACACCATTTATTTTTATCCTAAAGTGGCAGGAGATACTAAGAGTATTATTAACACAGTAAAAAGCACAATGGTAATATTAATCACTTTCATAGTAATACCAGCCATTTATAGTGGAAAATACCAAGGCCTCTATATACTTGACATTACACTTGGATCCCTGAGGAATACTCAATTATGTTGCAGCTGGTGTTCAGGACAATGCACTCAATGATATCGGGTTTAATTAGCCAATGTTAGTACTAGTGGGCGGTAATCTCCCCCATAGACCGTTGGCAGATAGAACCAAGTCTTCTCTGAAAGGTCCACTGCACACATCTGGCTCATGTGCACTTTAAAGAACCCATTGCAAGATTGAGGAATTACCCCGATGCTATTGTTCGTTTCAGCCCTGCTTTTTATGGTCTTGATACTGCATCTAAGGGGACGGGGGGGGGGGGGTCTAAATGAAAATTTCCTTGGTATAATCATTTCTCTTTAAATTAATATAAAAAGTAAATAAGCTTTATCGTATTATGTGCTAGGACTCAATAAATAATACAGAGCTCCCTCTACCAAAAGACCCCTCCATTTAAAGACCACCTCCAATTAAAGGCCATGGGGGGAAAAAAGGACAAAACAACATTTTCAGAATAGATAAGTCAGTAGTGCTAATTTCAACACATAACACTGATATTTAATTTGATTGATATAATTTTGAATCCCAACACGATGGCATTTGTGTGTTATGAAGAACATGATTTTAAAAATCTAAAATTTGTATGTTGTGCATATGAGACGACCCGCTGTTTTCGATCCTATTTTGATATTTCAAGCCTCGTCTTATGCGCGAGTTTATACGGTACTCCCCTACCTCCTACCCATGCCACACTTCATACAAAAATTAATCAAATCCAACACACTTATACATTATATCAAAACAAACCTAAAAAAAAGACATTTTTTAATCTGGAAAGGATGGAGTTTAAAATTTAAAAGATACAATTAATCTGCAATGCATTTAAATAAACTAAATACTGTATAAAATACTGTACTATGTTTCTTTATCTATATGCCTGCCTACAGTACATTTTGCAAACAGAAAGAGGGATGTCTGATCAGAAACTAATTATATACAGTGCCCCCAATCTATAAATTTAGCGAAAGAAGAACAAATGATCACTTGTAAGCTTATCAAGATCAACACCATACCATTATAAATAAACTCACATGATCAGTAATGGTAACACTGTGTCGGAATATACAGTAGGTGGTAGAACAACGTAAGATAAAGGTAGTAGACCACCTAAACAAGTTGTGTAGGCAGGTATGTAGATTTCAATTGTCCTACAATATACAAATTGCAATCAGGCTCAATACAAACATTTACATATTAATCTAATACATACAATTATAAGATTCAGATATATAATTTATACAACCAAAAATACTTAATCAAATTAATAATTATTAACCATTCTGATATTGAGTCCAATTCATTATACCAATATCTGTGTAAATGCCTTTGTAAACTGTTGACAGGGTCTAAGTTGTACATTGTCCATAAGCAGATACACACACTGGGAACCAGTTGGTTGGAATAGGATGTTAACCTTCAAATTCTGGACATGATAGATCCAATCCCCTAGGAAGAATGAAACAAAATTAAATGTTTTAATAAAATAAGGGGAAAAAAACATTTTCCATTACACCACGAAAATCCTACACCTTTGTAAGGAATGATATGTTTGTTGTTGTTGTGTTTCTGGCAATAAAGAATAAGAATAAGGATAATCAGTGTCCACATATCTAGGCATAAACATATTTTTTTTAAATAGCATACATGTGTTTTTATGTGTGCTAAGCTAAAGGTCTGTCAAGATTATAACATTTTCTTGGAAAAACTTGTTATATGGCCATATAGTCTTGTATGTGTCTATATTATAATAATAATAATAATAATAATAATAATAATAATAATAATAATAATAATAATGGTTGTGCATTATGAAAAGACTCTGCTCTTTATATTATCACTACCCTAGTCATTGGATTAAACACAGATGGAACACAAAATCAAGCCCCCTGAGGGAGTATATTACGATGCTGCAGCAGCTAATCAGCACATTTTGCATTTTAACCCCACCAGGTACCCACTTTTACTCTTGGGTGTAGAAGCAATCCAGATAAAGTGCCTTGCTTAATGACTCAAGCAAAATGCACAGTGAGGGATTGAAACCCTGACTTTGAAGTTGGAAAACCAAACCATTCCCATTGGTCATATGATGTGATGTCATCATGACCATATTTAGGCATGTCACATGTTTTTGTCAAATAGAAATTGATAGTGTGGACAGTACTTTGAATATTTAACCATGGTCTTCGTATTTAAATCCAAGTGCAAAAAGAGATATGAATTAGCCATGGTTAAGTTTATACTGTTATTCATCTTGCTTAACAATAATCCAGTACAAACACAGCTTAAAAGGCAAAAAACAAGAATTCAAGAAGCTACTGACCAATACATTCTGATAACATATAATAAATACAAATGATGACAATTTCAACAACAACAACAATAATAATAAAATCATAACCATATTGGAGATCTCATTCATCAGTTTTGTAAGTGTATTTTGAACGAATAAACATTTTTATCAGTTTTAATTGTTATTCATATTAACTTCAAATTTTAAAGCTAATCAAAATAATATCAAGCTATATATCAATACAACTTCAAACTTTTTAATCAAAACAAATTCAATATCTTATTGTATATATATATTTATCATCGTATGTCACTAATTGTGCAATCACAATCTTGTATTATGTTGGTGTTTTTTATACTGTATTTTATACACCAACAGTATTGTTAAGCTTGTCCTAAATTAATCTTCAGGAGACACCCCCAACTAAGGGAATACTTACTGTACCACTTTTTGTGTGTGTGTGTGTGTGTGTGAATAAAAGCTTGTAACAAAGTGCTATATAATTGGAAGTCATTGTTTCTGTGCACTGTACTGTAGATGCTTACATCGTGATGCGTGATCGTATACAGTTGCCTAAGTCAAATCCAAAATGACATTGAAAAATAGTTTGACTTAGATAAAATTTGACTTACAGATTGTTATTTAATGGAAAGCACAACAATTTGGCATGTAAAATAAAATCAACTTAGAAATTATTCGGGTTAGGCAAAGTTGACTTAGGCAAGATTAACTGTAGTTAGGTAAAACTTTTGAATGTTAAATCTGCAATCATTTTTTGTATACTGAAGCTCTGCCATTATAAACATTATCAATCATCATATATATAAGGCACCATACAGTATAAAATAATAGCTTAACATTTAAAAGCCAAGGTGTAAGCCTAAAGAGTGTTGTCATGTGGCCAATGTATGGCCAATCCCCTTCAGTTCCCTTAAAGTGTTTCAAACGGAATCAATTTGTCTTCATATAATATGATAGGAGGGACCGTCATTTCAGAGAAACAAGAGCTTGTATAGGCCTGTAAATTATATAAGATTGAGCTTCACAGTAGTACATTTCAAATAAATTTTTTCGCAATTATTTGGAAATTTGGCAAGATAGCACCGCGTCAAGGCAAAACATCACTCCCATAAACCTCTAAACATTCATAGTCTGATATCTGTCTATAAGTTAATGAGATATCTTACGATTTCTGTAATGTTTAGTGTAACTTTACCTAAAACTTCATTATTTAAATTTCAGTGTGTAGTGGGGTCACCTTTGAGTCTGAAATTGATATTGCTTTAAAAGTGTTGACATGGGACTCAAAATAGAGTATTTGTACGTCAAAAACCAGAAATTGCATTGTTTAAATTTCCTGAGTTTTGGGTGGCTTAGTACAACAGTATCATCTCAAATAGAGAAAGATACAGTGCCTGAATCAACAGCCTAATGAGAAACATTATGGATTTCTAAAAATACTGACGACTCAGAATACTACACACCTAGAATACTGCATGCCTAGAACACTGCACGCCCAGAATACTACCTGTACATGCCCAGAATACTGCATGCCCAGAATACTGCATGCCCAGAATACTGCATGCCCAGAATACTGCATGCCTAGAATACTGCATGCCTAGAATACTGCACGCCCAGAATACTACCTGTACATGCCCAGAATACTGCATGCCCAGAATACTGCATGCCCAGAATACTACACACCTAGAATACTGCACGCCTAGAACACTGCACGCCCAGAATACTACCTGTACATGCCCAGAATACTGCATGCCCAGAATACGGCATGCCCAGAATACTGCATGCCTAGAATACTGCATGCCTAGAATACTACCTGTACATGCCCAGAATACTGCAAGCCTAGAACACTGCATGCCCAAAATACTGCATGCCTAGAATAATACAGGCCTAGAATACTGCAAGCCTAGAACACTGCACGCCCAGAATATTACCTGTACATGCCCAGTACTGCATGCCTAGAAAATGCATGCCCAGAATACTCCATGCCCAGAATACTGCATGCCTAAAACACTGCATGCCCAGAATACTACATGCCTTGAATACCACATGCCCAGAATACTGCATGCCTAGGAATACTACTGTATAATGACAAGGAACATACAATATAGGAATATGCCACATATTCTAAACTCAAGGGTTATAAATGGAAGAGCCATGAGATGTTCATAGCAGATGATATATAATACTTATTATTATTATTATTACTATCATATTATTATCTTCATAATTATTAAAATTTAATATTGTACTTAATATAGAATATACTGTGTAATTTATTGTAAATTGCCAAAAATAGCATCTCAAAAACAATAGAGTCATCATTCTGAAGATGAGGTAGTTTGTGTAATGAACATCAAAATTGTTACTAGGTCAGTTTAAGTTTTGGCTTGTTAAAATTCACATCGTATCTACAAACTATGAATATTTTCAACTAAAGTATAATTATTATTATTATTTTTGCTGTTGTAATTGTTGATGCTGTTGATGTTAAAGATAGACTCACCAGCGATACATAACTTTTATCTTAAGTTTCAATTGGTTCATGAGTGACATACCTGCAGTAAAATATGACAATGTCAACAGTGTGTAAAGTTCTAGGACTGACTCATCAAAACATGCTTAGAGAATAAAAGAACTCTTGAAAATATTTTACAAACACAATGTTAAGGGAATATATTCAATTAAAGTAATATGAATACTGTATTATACTTTACTTGCTCTCTATTTCTTAATCTGCCCCTCAGCTGGCCCATAATTTTTGTAAGAGGAATGTAGTCCTGGACTAAACATTTTATATTATATATTCTGGGCCCCCTTAGTTTGGGGATTTAGCTGCTTCACACCACTGATTCACTGGTGTAAGTAGTAATGAAATATTTCTCAGTTCCTCTGGGTGGATTATTCATAGTTGTTACACATAGTGTTAAGTACAAAGCCATTGCAATATTTGCTTTTAGACAGGTGATGGATGAGTAAATGTTAGGATGATGACCATGGTAAATGAAAAAGAGTATGAAAAACCCTTCACCAACAAAAAGCGGTCAAAAGCTGCCTAAAATAAAAATGATCTACTGTATCAGCCACGGGGTGCTGCTTGGCAAAGGTGCTATTAATTAATCAGGGCCAGGCATCTTATAAAAATGAAAACACTCACAATTGTTACAGGTTGTATTAATGGGAGTATAGAGTCGTAAGTGACATAGAGTCTGAAATATTGTAAACAATTTAAAAAAACACTACCAATGTGGTACCACATATACATATAAATTTGCATGTTACAGATGATCTGCACATAAGATGAACATGATTTAAAAATAAGAATTTGTATGTGTTGCGTGTATAAGACAACCCCCTGTTCTTCGATTGTAATTAAGCTTGCCTTATGGGTGAGAATATACAGTAGGTAATCAATTTTGATGGGTTGCACAATCGCTTCAGATAGTGAAAAAAAAAAATGTTGATGATCTACTTAAATAAGGATTTCTATACAAATGTATCAAAACTAAAAATGGACAATTTTGTTAGCGCATGAGAGTGATAGATGATAGCAGACTTCCATGGTATAAGAATTGATTGTTGACTTCTGTGACATGTGTCATTATGAATTCAGAAGAATAGCATTGTCAAACAGCAATGAAGGACCCAAGGTCCATCAATAGCATTTTTGGCACTAAATTACAGAATTTTTGGATGTCTGTAAATTTATAAAAACTATTTTTTTGCAATTTGTCATTTAATGCAATGTATTTGATAACAATGGTTCTTCAAATTGAGCATAATCAATGTACAGTTAACTTGCCTTAGTCAAATTCAAAATGGCACTAAAAATGACTCAACTTAGTTAAAATTTGACTTACAGATCATTAATTATGGAAAACATAACAATTTGACATGTAAAATATTATTGACTTAGAATTATTACAGTTACAAAAAGTCAACTTAAACAAGTTTAACTGTATTAAAGCAATTTTTACTTTTTTACAATTTTATGTTCGGAGTACAATGTCAAAGTGACATCAATCTTGAGATTGGAAACAGTATACAACTAAGTATACAACCCTCCTCCAAGTCACACATTAAGCACATAAACCTGTATTTTATATATTTAACAACATGAACACATCCTAGTACATAGTATTTATGGGTAATCGTTAGGCGTTCTCAGCATTAGGCTGCGGATGGCCTATTCAGGGATATGAGCCCAGGATCCTTCTGACCCGGAGGGCGAGTACCTGTCAGGGTCCCACCCTGGGTTACGTTAAGTTAGTTATTTAAGCAATAAAACAAATAATTAAAAAAAATAATAATAAATAAATAAAAACATAAAATAATATAAAAATAAAACAGAATTCATTTGTGAAACATAATGGGATATCATTGAAGTGAATGCCAGCAGCAGTGATTCTGTCAATAGATCCAGTCAATGACGGCCATGCTACGTAACAGCAGGGAACAGTGATTTCACTGTTCCCTGGTAACAGTAACAGCAGACAGAACTACATGCACATTTTGACCTAGTACCTAGGGATGAATTCCTGGGCCTACGGAAGGGAAACAAAAATCCACTTGGTAAAATGCCTTTCCCACCCAGACACAAGTATTGATAATGTGTGGGATTCAAACCTCAAAAATTTATCTTAACAATTAAAACATGCCCCAGCTCTCCAACAGGTCAAGTTATGTACTGTATATGCACCATTACAACAGGACATTCGACTACCTATTTATATTTTCAATTTTTTCTTAAATATCACCTTTATATTCAAAACAAATAATAATAACAAGGAATTATGAGAAAAACAGTGGACAAAAAAAGTACAACCAGCAGAAACATATAAAAACAACATCCTCATTGAGAGGGGAAATTATCAATAATTAAGTGAAAGGTCAACAGACAGTAGAGACCAATAGTGAGGTTAGGTGCAGATGGAGTAAATGTTTCACAATATTTTAACCTAAAGTCTCAAATGAATGATGTCTCAAAAGGGCGAACATGAGAAGCCTAGAGCAATAAGCTAATACTTGCAACATGAACACTTGCATTGTGTCTCAAACAAAGTCAAAGCTTACAGAGTGGCATTTGGAGAAGAGTACTGGTATTAGAGCAATGCTGATGATTTGCATGACTTCATTGAGATAATGTCTCAAATTAATATGAGAATGGCTTTATGAGAGGCTATTGAGCAATGCACAACTTGTACAACTTCATGAAGCTCATGTCTGAAATGGCAACTATGAGAGTGGCTTTATGAGAAGCATACTAGAGTAATGAGTTGCTAAGGCCCTATAAAAAATATTATTAGTTTATCACCCTATCTGGGCAGGAAAAGTGATGAAGGATGGAGGCTTTTTTTTTTAAATTTTTTATTTTGCTAGAGCCAAATATTACCCTTGAGTTGTTTGCTGGTGCATTGATATTCAAAGTAAAACATGATTTAGATAATGCAAACAATATCTACTAACTATTTAATAAAATAAATGACAAAAATAAATAAATAAAATTATATATAAAAAAAAAAAAATTTTTCCAGTACCATAGAAGGCATGCGTGCGAGAGTGATAAACTAATAATTTTTTTTATTGGGCCTAATCAGTACATATGTTCAGACTTACAGGTACCAACTTATACTCCTTATGTGGATAGAAAGAGCTAGTAAAGTTCTTTTCCCAAAAACAAGAGTAAAATGCCAGCTACCAAAACCACATTACGAAAATACTAGCATCACCTTTATTAAAATATTGAAGGAAAAAATCTAAAAACAAACCTCTTTCCATGCTTGATATGAATAAGCAAGAACAAGGCACCAAACATTACACATGTTGAACCAGTCACAATGTAGGCAATACCAAGGAAGTTGTTTTTTCCTCCGAGCCATGATGTCGTTGTCAATACAAAGCTTTTCTTTCCCTCAAACTTGCTGACAAGGTAATCTTTGAAACTGAGTTAAGTTTTAAAACAAATAATCAGTACATATGTTCAGACTTACAGGTACCAACTTATACTCCTTATGTGGATAGAAAGAGCTAGTAAAGTTCTTTTCCCAAAAATGCCAGCTACCAAAACCACATTACGAAAATACTAGCATCACCTTTATTAAAATATTGAAGGAAAAAATCTAAAAACAAACCTCTTTCCATGCTTGATATGAATAAGCAAGAACAAGGCACCAAACATTACACATGTTGAACCAGTCACAATGTAGGCAATACCAAGGAAGTTGTTTTTTCCTCCGAGCCATGATGTCGTTGTCAATACAAAGCTTTTCTTTCCCTCAAACTTGCTGACAAGGTAATCTTTGAAACTGAGTTAAGTTTTAAAACAAAATTAAAAGCTAAAAACACCAGTGGATAAACAAAACTAGAATATGAATATGAAGGACTCCATGGCCTAGCTCAAAACAATTACTACCATTTTTAAAACTATATAAAAAATAATATGTTTTAGAAATTATTATACAACATAACATGATGTGTAATTAAGTGAACACAATTTGAAGAAGTATTGAAAAGTAAATGTGTAAAAATTGGTTAGCAATCGTTAAGGATACTGTAGTTGATGGTAAGGGTGTATCTGCCTTTTGGAAGTTGCTTGTCAAAAACTGATGTAGCATCATGAACAATACGACCATTCAGCTTGCGGAACGTTGGCAAAGCAGCAGTTCTCATCCAAACAATGAAATCCTCATTTTTCAGTTGATTATCAATCTCTGAGATGTTTGTTTTCCAATTTGGAGGCTTAACAGTACCTTCAAAATCTGAGATAAATATAAATATGTGGTGATTAATTTTTAAATAATTATAACATGAGGATGATTTTTTTCCTTTGAAACTCAACAGTTTTGTTACATGATTTTTCACCGTGGCTAGATATACGGAACCGTATCGGAACTTCCGAATGCTAAAGGTACGGTAAATGATATTACGTCATGATTAGCCAATGAAATGACTGACTCGATTCGACGTCGTGATCATGAGAAACGTGGCGCGAACAGTTACGATCAAATTTATGTCATAAAACTTCAGGCCCATTTCATGTATTTCGATTGGGGCTTATCACAATGTTTGGGTTAAAAATCTTTTCTGTTATTCTTGCGTATTTTATGGTCTACCATAGAGAATGGTCTACTGAGGCTAGGCTTAGGCCTAGGGCCTAGCCCGAATACCCACCTAGGGGCATACTTATAGGCGTACTACTAGGGTAGGCTTAGGAGGTTTCAGGGGTAGCTAAGGCCTAGGCCTGGCTTCTACTATTAAAATAGTTTATTCTCGCTTGATGTCGCCAAATCTAGCAAAACTGCTATCCTTTTCATTTGCTATAGGGCCTCAGGCTACAGAATATTAATCACAGCTTATCAACAACACCCACGAACGAACGAATCTTCGATCGTTGCTAAAACAAACACTTGTTACTCTTGCAGCAGCAGTACACTGAATGACGTCACGCATGTATCGGCGTTTCTATTGGCTAATCATGACGTAATATCATTTACCGTACCTTTAGCAATCGGAAGTTCCGATACGGTATCGTATCTCTAGCCACGGCGATGATTTTTTTCTGTATAGTATAGTTTTTTTTGGTTTTTTTTGTTTTTTTTTGGACAGGTGAAGTTAACGTATATAATATAATGTATAATTAAGAGTATTCATATGACCATATTATTATATTGCTGTTGTATTATTTATATAATCTATAGGTAAATGTAATGTACTATGTATTTTGAATTAACTGATGATAGTTGGTCATAATATTAATGATACTGTATAACACAACAAATGTAATGATATACTCAAGGGGTAACCCTTAATTGACATACAGTCTTGGTAATACAGTAGCTGTTTGAACCTTGAACCAAAACCCAACCTTGTTTAAACAAAATATTGAGCATTCAGAATACAACATGTGTGTCATAAACAAATTTACTGCATTAGTCACCAACACAAATGGAGTCCAACGAAGTGACAAGGTGATTTTTGGTTTCTACTTTGTAATATTTAGTTAAAGTCATGGAGTGTGTGTACAGAACATCCTGTTCAGTTTATGCTTGTCATTATTTTAGGCTTGTCATGCTTTCTGTACAATACTTTCTAATTCAATTGTGATATCATCATTTTTATTTCCACATAATTGTCCTACCCCTGAGTAAATACTAATCTGATATAGTGTTCCGGTTTGGCTGCGGCTCATGTGCAAAATTTCAAGCAAATTTATTATTTACACTGCAAAGAATATTTCTTTGATAGGCCCAACCGGACACACACAACTAAACCTAACATATCAGTGATTAAATTTGCTTTTCAAAAAATAAATAGCCTAGACTTAGGCTAGTCCTGAAAAGGCCTATGGCTATTAGATAACATGGTGAACATAAACACCAATAATGTTTACACTATATTATCTCGTTAACGAATGTCTACCAAGATGCTGGCCTACTTAATCAACACAAGTTCATCAAAAACAAACAAGTATTTATTCATCATATCAAAGAGTACAATATAGTACAGTACTACAATTTAAACTGTCAGCGTGCATACTAGCACAGCTAATGTATTGGTCATATCAATTTAAAAATATACACTATACATAAAACAGAGTGACTTAAAAGCAATTCAAGCATGAATGGAAACAAACAAGGGTCACTCCTATTTACAAAGAGGGTGACAAAGCCGATCCAAACAATTACAGACCTATATCCATCCTACCACTAGTAACTAAGATCATTGAATGTGCTGTACACCAACAATTATATGATTATTTGACAAGAGTTAATATTATGAATGAATCCCAATCTGGCTTTAGGAAAAACCATTCAACAAATACTACCCTGATGTGTCAGATTATATTCTCAATAATTTAAATGTAGGCAAAGCAACTTCAGCCATCTTTATAGATTTGAAAAAGGCCTTTGACACAATTGATCACAAACTCCTCATATCAAAACTTAATGATTGTGGAATTCAGGAATCTGCCCTAAATTGGTTCATTTCTTATCTTAATAATAGGTTTCAATTTGTTCAAATTAATTCAACCATTTCTGATCCAATGAAAATTAACATTGGTATTCCCCAAGGGTCCATTTTAGGCCCATTGTTATTTATTATCTATGTTAATTCCCTACCAAATGTATGCAGACGATACTACCATTTTATGCAATTCTTCCGATCCCACTCCCCTAAAATTTTACAGTTTAGTAAGGCATGCCTGAATTGTACTTTCGGTGCTCGAGATTTGATTTTTCCCCGATGACCTTGATAGAAATTCCCGTAATGCCGTAACACGCAAATTTATTACAGAAATGAAGCTACTGTTATAATGAACCAACGCAATTTTATATATATGGGAAAATATGATTTTGATGAATATTTAAAAGCCCATAAAATGGTATTTGGAAAATTAGCCCTACGTTTGGCTCCAGCTAGATGCATATCAAGACCATAAAAGCAGCAAGGAAAAAGGATTTCTGAAATGGGAGGCATCTTATACGCCCGACAAACAAAAGTTGTCCAAAAATCTTCTTAAACTTGAAAATGGGGTGGGGGAGTGTTGTGTAATATGCAGATTGCTTTATATGCGAGAAAATACGGTATCTTATTTGCCTGTGAATCTAACAAAAATAATAATACAAGAATTAAAATAATAATTTTATATTTATTATAATCGAAATTAAAATTATTTCTATGTTTCCTTATCACTCCAAATCTGTTCATAAAAAGATTGAGTATGACTACTTTCGATTCATCCACAAGTTGCAACAAAAGTGAACCTATCCACGTATAAACAACTTTTAAAATACTGTCAAATCCTTTGTTTGACATTATGGAACAGATTTTTAAAAGATCATGTGAATGAAAACATAGAACTGACAGGCTCAATAAACCCCTCAGGAATACACTTTGCCTCTGTAGTAGAGATAAAAAAAAAAAAAGAAACTTGTACTGATGACGAACCTGTTTCCTCTATGAAACTCTCTCTCGAGGTACTTGATGGTGTCTCGGGCCCCCTGCTGTGTCTTCTTGCTTGAATCTAGAGTATCAATCACTGAAAAGGGGAAAAAATACATTGCCTTCAGACAAATAATATCATTTAAGACGCCAAACCTGAAATGAAAGTGTTCTAAGGGGAATCTAGTTGTGTTTTTTTCACTGTTAATTCCAATCTGATTGGGTGACTGATTGATCTATAGTTGATTGATTGATTTATTGATTTTGACAGTTAAAATAAAAGGGGATAATTTTAGACTTTCTAGAGAAATTCTAGAAACTGACTACCAGCAAATTCAATAATATTTGTAGTTCTTCAGGCATAAGGCTACCCTCTTGAACACAAAATTGTGACAATTTTGGTGCTGGGCTTATTGTAAAAATATGCTGCTTTCATTCATACGATAAGCTGTTCCAGTAGACAGAAAGATAAACATATTTTTCATATCAAATGACAGTAATCTATTTTAGATGTATTATAAAACAAATTTTGAATGTCTTTTTTTTTTTCTTTCAGTTGTTGAAAGACGGACTGTAGCATTCAACTAGGCTCAATCGTTGACTGTAAAGACGGGTATTCACTGCGCACGACAGCGACGCGACGACAAACGCATGCAATGGCGCAGAAACCAACAGATCGCTTTAATGAGGATCCATTCAGACTGCCACCGACAATCAGCAGACGGCGTTAACGTCGTCTATTGCTCGCCAGAAGCAGAAGTGGATTCGTCGTACGACATAGTGAGCAGCCGGATTTAGAGTATATCGTTTATCTTATATCGTTTATCTTATATCTGTCTCTTATACACATCTAGATGTGTATAAGAGACAGTTATAATCCTCTGTCAAGTTGAAAGGAATCTTACATATGCAAGTATTTCCAAGCTCTGTCACATTGGTAAAAAACACAGGACAAGTCTCTCCATTGTCTTGCTCACAGTCGGTGTAATTTAAGATTTTCTCCTTCACCTACAATTAAAAACATTCCAGTGGACAACATTGATTTCTGTATATTTATACAGGTCTGAAATGCAACAATATACTTACAATGCTAATTTTCTGAAGCATCTTTACAGGACCTTCAATATATAAAATGTTCCTGTTACTTTTCCATAACATGTTTCAAAGGTAAGTTGGATAATGTTAAGCAGAGTTATTACACATGTTGTGTTAAAGAGAGATTGGAAAGTGATGTAAAATAGTGATTACCTGCATTGAGTTTTTCTTACATTGAAGTTGGGTTGTTTAATTAAAATAGATGTAAACTCACATTGTTTGACGTAACAAGAAATCCAACACCAAGAGGTATGAAGATAATTCCCACAATGAAGAATGCTGGTAACACTGTCCCAGCTGTTAAAATTGGCTGCCATGCAGGTAACCTCTGCTGTTTGAAAGCAGTATCTGTATTGAAGACAAAAAAGTAAATAATATAATCTTTCTGAATTAATAGCAAAGTACAACATATGTATTGTTATAAAAGATTGTTGAAGTTATAGCCCTAGTACTGAACTGCCTAATAATAGTAAATATGCCTACTCAATGCACTTAAAAAAAACACATTTCTCTGAAAGAACTGATGATGTTATGCTCTTCAAAAGAAAAAAAAAACAAAGACAAAGCATTTATCCATTAAGATAGTTCATTATACACAGCAAAACTAACATTCTGACATACCATGAAGGAATAAACCTCAATGGAAATACACTGTACCAAGTAGTGCTTAAGATACAAGAGCAAGCGAATGGATGTCGGTTCGAGAAGATGCAATTAGTGGAAACTATATTCAAGGGTGAAATTATACAAAACAAATGATGAGACCATTGTTTGTTTCCCGACACGATAGCATGCATTTCGATACTTGGATTATACTATCTTATTCCAGATTAATCAGTGGACATTTCGGTTCTTGTTTGTATTTTAGATTGATTGAAATTGTTTTTTGGGGGTTTTAATCTGGATCTGGACAATTAATCGGTAACTTTTTTTGGAGCATCACACCAATTGGGTCAGAGTTGCAATCTCTCAGGTTGCCAGGAAAGTGAAAAATGATAGGAATATAATATTTAATACCAAATGCACTGTGTAACTAAGGTTTTCAATGGTTTTTGATAATTAAATAATAATTCCATGTTTTCAATTACATTCCTGCCAAATCTGACCACCACCGCTAACAAGCACTTATCAAGTTATAAATTGCGCACATTTAATTATTCTGAATTCATGGTTCTGTTCCATCTGGGGTTTTGTAAAAATGAAAATTATAGTTATGATTATTTATAATGTAACTGTAATTGAATTTCAACTGTATTGTGATTTGAGGGAGGTGATTTGACAGTGGATATAAGAAAATTAAAACATAATTAATTTTCCGATATTCTTATTGTAAATCCATTGTGGATGAGATTCTCAGGTGCAGAAAAATGATATTATAGAAAATAACAAACTATCTGAAAAAAAAAGCTGCTACGTTTAGAAAACTTGAATCCAAAGAACTATAAAAATAGGAAATAGGAAATTCACATAAGTTAATAATCGCAAAACTGAATCCTTTTTTTCATCCAAATGGCATCTGCTTAAACTGGCATCCGCTCAAACTAGCATTCGCTTAAAGAGACATCCGCTCGTATTGACTGGTTTCGGCGCTTGAGAATCTTGACCGCAATGGATTTACAATAAAAATATCAGGAAATTAAATGTGTTTCGTTTGTCGTATATACACTTTGTTTATCTTATATAGAGTAAGATTAACTTTGGACCACAATGGAAAGAAGTTTGCCTTTTCAGTACTTTTTTGTGTTTTTATCCTTGAATATTATTTTTGTATTCAGAATAAAGAAATAAAAATATAAATACAAAAAGCTTACAAATTATAAATAAATAACAACAGTATTAACTATGTTTATTAATTATTATTATTAAATTATTCATTTCTTCTTGTATGTTATTTACACTGTACAGTATGCCTGGCCTACATTGAATTTTAATTGACATTTAAAAATAAAAGATAAAACATGTTGTTTGCCTTACCCCCAGTATTTTTATTAATTTTACTGTCAGTAAACCTACCTAAGGCTTATGTAGGCCTAGACTAGGCCCTAGTAGTAGTAGTAGTAGGCCTAGGCCCTACTGCAGGCCTAGCCCTAGGCCTCTCTATCTAAAAAGTAGAGAGCAAAGGAGGCCTAAGCTAGGCATACGCCTTCTGCTCCTCCTAGCATTAGGCTAGTACTAGGCCCTAGTAGTAGTAGTAGTTAGCAGGCCTAGCCTACATAGAAACAGTGAATGAATGGACCCAGTGATTTGCTTACCGCCTGGCTTTTTAGTCTTCCTCTCTTCTTCATCTCCAATCCCTTGATGAGCTGTAGAGTTAGGCGTTGGAGACTTTGTTTTTGTTGGTTCCATGTTTTCGTTCACAATTACGTCCTCCTTAGCGGAGTTTGCTGCCATCTTCAAATCGATCCAATATCGACGATGACGGCGACACACTGTACCAACTGTACACAGCAAATGTTGTACGTCGGCGGCTTTTCTCTTCCGGTTTATAAGGTTTTCTCTCTCAGCTCTGCTGACGGTGGTTGTTGAATATTCATAAGGAAGCCAGCTTAACCGCGCCCTAGTTTATGTGAATTTTAATACGGCCATAATTATTGCTTTTTGACCAGGGGTAGCGCCAGTGGGGTGCGGGGGGGGGGGGGGGAGAAGGTGAAGTAGGGGCTCGATGATCAGTTGAGGGGTGCTAATTTGCAAAATAAGGTGATTTCATGTGTTTTTTAACCACTTGACCATGATTTCCAGGGAGGGGGAAACTGGGGGAACGGGAAACTGGGGGAAGAGTAAATTTTGGAGGGGCATGCTCCCCACTGCACACCCCACTAGATACGCCACTGCATTTAAGATTGTCAGCAATGGTGGATCCCGGAATTCAGAATTGAGGGGACCCGGGGATGTACTTTCACTGATGGAGAATCTATACCACCTCAGCCCCACTATGGTTGA